CACGCGGCGGAGGCAGTCCACATCGCCCCCTCTCGGGGGGGGGGGGGGAGGGGCGGCGGGAAGGAGGAGCGGCGCAAACAGCTCGCTGCTCTAGAGACAAAGGTGACCCGAGAGTGTCATGCCGGGATCAATTGGTTTGGGTTTATGTTTGGGAATGTCTTGAAAGGTTTGGTGGAGCTTGAGATCACTTGTAGTCGGGCACGCTGTGTGGTACGATGGAGGCCGTTTGAGAGTTTCTTGTGGGTTGTGCTATTAGGGGTTGTTCCGGTGGCCCGCATTCAAGGCCAAAGCACACGCGGCAGTGAAAACAAGATTGGGGAATGGTTGTCGACGGTGCGATGCGGCACGCAGAGAGAGCCAATGACATCCCTTCTTTGTGTACGGTGGAGTCCATGAAGCCTCAAACTAGCAAGAATGCCGGCAGGTTATGAGGAACAGCAGTTGTAATTTATGAAGAACAGCAGTACAAGATTTCCATTTCTAGCTCTTGATGAACCCATGACCTTGGTTGTTGTGGTTCATCCACATCCCGTCGAACAACGGTGGTGGTGGCAGAGGAAGTGGGGTGTCCACCCCCACCGGAAGCTGACAGTCCCGTGGCTCCCACAAGCAGTGGAGGCAGCCAGGAGCAATGGAAAAAATCAGACGAGTTGATGACCTTGGTTGTTGTGGTTCATCCATATCCACCGTTGCTGTTGGTGATGTAGGCGCCGACAACAACCGAAATGCTGGTGACCATCTTCCCCCCTTTTTTTTTTGCCTTCACGCCTGTTATTGGCTCTGGCCATGGTGTCAAAAAGGTGAAAGCGCTTCTAGAGGTACAGACGGACACACTAGAGTCGACGAAGCGGCAGGTGGACAAGAAGCACACTAGGACGGTAGAGGAGCGCGACCAGGAGATCCAAGAGGAGGAGCAAGGAGCTCTCCCGGAGTTCAACGAGGTCGGTGCCCACATGTAGTCATGTCTTGGGTTGTCATCGTCGTTGTTGGAGTTGTATTCGCAATACTGGCCGTTCTAGTGCCAACTTCTGCTCTACATGTGTCTGTCGAAAATACGTTAGTTCTCAGAGATCCATTCGTATGTCTGTCAGATCAAAGGGGCGATGGGCCCACATCCAACCATCCAACCGATACGGCCCAACCGAAGCGACCGATGACGTCACTCGACTAGGCCAATCAAATCAACCCCAGTCCCGAGCTATCTATCCGATCAGAAATGACCTATGGCCTTTACTTGTAACCTAACCTACCGAAACTTGTAACTTAACCTACCGAATCACCAGGAGGAAGAAGAGGAGAGCGATGAGGAAGGGCCCATCTACAACCCCCTCAATCTCCCGCTCGGGTGGGATGGAAAACCTATTCCGTACTGGCTCTACAAGCTGCACGGGCTCGGGGTAGAGTTCAAGTGCGAGATCTGCGGCGATTTCAGCTACAAGGGTCGGAGGTATGTGTGTGTTAGTTATTAGCATCCGATCAATGAAAATACGCCAGTCTTATCGGCAAAGAACGGGCTCAAGGCCATGATCTGTGTGTGTTGCTGGTTGTTTTTGTAATCTTCGTGGCCATGTCCTCACGAATATTGTGAGGGCTTCCCAGCCGCCATAGGTGCTGTGCTCTTTCATCCACGTAGTGAAGATGAGAGCCGGAGGAAGTGCAAGCTCCGGCTGTTGTATGCATGCCAATAGTCTTGATGAAACCGTTCAAAGATAGTCCGCAAATTCGTGCCTGCTCCGTTCTTCTCTCCCGTGCTTGTCGTGGAGCTGTGTTTATCTCTTGTCGGACGTTGTGCTGCCGCTGTTGTTTCGACCGGCGCAATCGAGCTGCTTCGAACGATATCCTCACCCACACCGATACATTTATGTTTCCCCCTTCTGGTTTATACCTTTGTTTCGGCTCTTATCGAGCACATGTTTAATTTTTGTCTTCGCCGCGCGCTGTGTGCGTGTGTGTGTCTGTGTGTTTGTGTGTGTGCCTTTTTTTTTTGCTTGTGGTGCTGTCGTTGCTGCTGCCGCAGGAATTTTGACCGGCACTTCCAAGAATGGCGTCACGCGCACGGCATGCGATGCTTGGGCATCCCGAATACGAAGCACTTCCACGACATCGTCCTTATCCAGGTGGGGCGGCAGGCAGAACAATTATTTGGTAGAGATATCTGCCAGCAACAATTGGTAAAGATATCTACCAGCTCTTCTGATGTGCGGTGTGTGTTGCACGTGAACGATGCTGGTCATGTTCGACTCAATCACGGCACCTTGATGATGGCAACATTGGAACGCAGTGTTGCGGTGAACAGCAGCACTTGTGGCGTCACTCTTTGGAAACTAGACATGGAAACGTTGACGGTTTCGTGTATCAGTGTGGGCAGCTTGGGGTGTCTGGTGGTCAAGAATTCACAGACTCACCAACCCCCCAATAGATCACTGCAGCGATAACGTTTTGACCCCTCCAAGCAAAGATGGCTACAAATAAACAACGTTGTTCTCTCGACGATTGCTTCTCTCTGCTGGTCATGCAGGACGCCCGAGACCTCTATGCCAAGATCAAAGACTCGTTGGACAAGGAGCAGTGGAACCCCGAAGACAACGAGGAGTACGAAGACGGGGAGGGCAACGTTCTCAACAGACGCACCTACGAGGACTTGGCCCGCCAAGGCCTCATGTAACGGAGTGGTGGCCTGGCGTGGTGCCGAGACGGCGGGAAGAGAGAGAGAGAGAGAGAGAGAGAGAGAGAGAGAGAGAGATAAAGGCGGTGGCCAGGGGAGTGAGGGAATGCTCCGCTCTGTAGCAGCGTGTGCTCGGGGGGGGGGGGGGGGGGGGAAATTGGGGGGGGGGGGGGGGGGATGGAGGCGAAGCGGGGGGTGGGTTGTTGGGGAAAGGTAGGTGGTGGAGAGCGCACGGGGAGGTTCGCATGCGAGCGGGAAAACCTTGCGCTGGTGCGGTTACTTTTCGGGTCCTTGTTCTTCGATGATATGTCTACCATGGATTGTAAGCTGGTAGGACGAATGATCGTTTGCGTGCTGCAGCCTGTGTCAGGCATATTGTGAACCTCAACACAAACAGGTAAACGGCGAGATAGGAGCATACTCTCGAGACAAACCCAAAAGTACTCGAAGGGAGGCCAAAAACACATAATCCCAACACAACGCGTGGGGTTCTTATGACTTGGTCGAAAGGAATGGTTGACGGGGAGTGTTCCTGGAAATTTCCTACAACCCCGAGGAACCCCTTGAGTAGGTAAGCGGGTGGCGGCGGTTATCTACCCCGTTGGATACAGCGCTTCCTTTCGAAGCTAGTGAAACAAAGAAAAACGCGCATCTTATGCCACGGCGGCAAAACCTGATTGCCGCTCTTTCGCAAAAGTTCTACGGTAAGTACTGTACCTGCACACGACGACGTATTTGGCGTGGTTCTTCATGGAGGCCAACAACGCTACCCCGTTCGTCTCCTCGCCGTCGCCACCATCACCGGCATCACCACCGTGGCTGCCGTCGATGGAGACGAGGTGACTACTCCCGTCCATGCCGCCCGCTAGAAGTAGGCCTGCACTACCGCCGCCGCCGCCGCCACGGAAAGGAACCGATGACGGGCAGAAGTCCATGGACAGCACCGGGGCGGCGAGCTTCAAGCGGTGAAGCTCGGTGCTTCTGCTACTGCTGCTAGCGCTGCCGCCGGAATCGGCGTTGCCTTCATTATCACCCAGACCTTGCGCTAGACGGGATACCTGTCGTGCGTGGTGTGTGGCGGACGCAACAGTTAGTCGGTGAAACTATGTGCCCGGGGCGACACTTTTCTTGCGGTGCTCAGCAGCCTTCGTACGCCACACGCCGCTCTTCCACCGAGCACAGCCAGTGGTCGTTCGAACACCGCGAAACGACATCACAGAAAAATCATCCGGGTGAGCTGTCATCCCTCTTCCGACATACCCCCCGTATTTCCCCCATCCCCCCGGTTCCGTTCCAACGGCGAATTGGGAAGTCGTCCTTTGAAAACAACCGGTGTCGATATTTGGCCTCATGGGGATCGTAGTGGTCCAAAGAAATGACCGTACCAGAACGCATGTTGTGGTACAGGTCTAGGCAACTGTCCACTGGAGAGTACCACATATGTATTTCCAAATCCCAACGAGTGTCACGTACACGCGGGAGGGAGGGAGCGCATGCGCCGCAAAGACGGACCGATTATCATTCAACAAGATGGTCGCGTTCACTTTAACCCCCTTACCACGCACAGAAAATTCGGCGGTCTTGCGAAATTTCTGAAATGTAAGAAAAAGAGCGAACGACGCCTGCTGATTGGATGGTGCAGACAGTTCCATCCCTGGGTGCAAGTGCAAAGCTGCCTTCCCACTTGAGCCGTCTCTTGTCTATAATCCCTATCAATTGTCCCCTCGATACGAGGGGACACGAGGGGACAATTGATAGGGATTATAGACAGAAACTGGCGGAAGCGTGGTAAACGGGGCACGAAAAGGAGGTTTTCAAGATATTTCCCTAGAGGGAAAGCGAGACCTTCTAACTCAAGCCCTAGGTTGCTTGGTGCCTCCTATCAACGGTGGTCTAGGTACTTCTTCCGCGCTTGCCCCTGGTAGTGCTTTCCACCCAAGGGTAAACAGACGCGGCGCAACTTCGCTGTTGAACCGGCGGCGTAATCGCCCCGCGATTCGACCTGTTCATTACCCTCATACTCCTCCACTCTACAAAGCATCCATACTAGACTAGAGTCGTCCCTGTGTACCCTGGCACCCCCCTGGTCGAGTAGTGCAAATGAGGAGACAATCATGACAATCTTCGCGAGGTAAAGTAGGCGAAGAAGATGGGGACAAAAAGTGTCCCCAAAAGGCGATCCAGCCCTAAAGGGGTTAAAGTCGGGAAACACAGGTGAGATAAAAATACTCCCGGAGATTACGCAACGGAGGGATGCGGACTCACACAAAACATACAGCGGTGGTGTCGATACAATGGAAGGAGGACGGTTGTGGTGGCGAGGGAAGGTTTCGCGCCTTGCGGATTCTTTCTTTAATCGTTGCCGCGGTCTACCCTTTTCGCTACAATATACGAAAACCGTTTTCGGCATACCAAAACCCGACCCAAAACACAGTTAATTCCCGTCTGTACAAATACCGCCTTGTTGTCGAACAAATCAACTCCGGCAACACTCCCACCATGCCATCCCAATACCCCAGAACAACCGAGCCTACCTCCTGTTTAGAAATACACGTAACTGCAAGGCCCAGTTGTAAGCAACGGGGGGGGCGGGGGAGGCGCGAAGGAGGTATCAGCAGTAGGGCAGGTAGAACCATCTGGCCCGGATCTCGCAATGGCTCACCTGCAGCGACATGTCCGCCCCGCCGCTCGCCACAATGCCCGGCAAACCTGGGCACGCTCGGGCGCAGAGCACATTAGTCCCGCCGTGGCACCCCACCAGGGTATCGGACACCTGGCGCACACACGCCGTCCTGGAGAGTGGGAGAAGGGGGAGGGGGTTGGCGGCGGTTGGGGGGGACCTCATTCGCTGCTTGTGACAAGGAAACTCTGCATCGTTCACCACCACGGCCATGTTAGGTGGGGGCACGCAGACTACGCGGCAGCAGAAAATTATTTCCTGTTCTCCACAACGGGATGGTTTTCCTGCGTCCTTCGAGTGTGCCGTGTGGGCGATGGATCTCGCCTTATTCTTCCTTGTCCCATGGCAAAACGAGCCTTTCGACGTCTCTACAAAGCCCCAGAAGCTTCTCCGTGGTAACAGCAGGTGCAACATACCCAGGTACATGAGCGAAGAACATTTCACATACTCAACGAAGCCGTTCCGTCGGGGCGATTGCGGACCCTCGTGCAACCGGTTGCCCTGCACCCAAGCAGGCAAACAAGCATGTAAGCAAGCAAGCAAGCAAGCAAGCAGAGCGAATGCTGGTTTTCCTCGCCTGTCTCCCGGAACTACAAACGGGGCGGCGGGGTCATCCGCCACTCCAACGCCGTCCGCATGATGACCCTCTTCACCATTGTCGTTGTTGTTGTTGTCTCCTCCTTCGTTCCCATGTCCACGTCCCTGCCCTTGGGATAAGCGGAGGTTGGCTTCGGAGAGGGCTTTGTTCTCCTCTTCCAGCTTTGCCACTCTCAGGGTCAACCTGTGGGCGAAATTTCGTGGGTAGGCCGACAAAGAGTTCTCGTCGGATGTGTGCGTGTGCGTGGCTTCTTGCGGACGTCATTCGCTGCAGAGAGGTTCGGCTGTATCAGATGTGGGGTTACGGAAACGGTGGTGGTGATGCTGCTGCTGTTCTTGAAGTGGCGCTTGTTTCCCGGGGGCGTTCTTGAGGCACAGGAGGTATCCTGGTTACCATTGCTTTTGTAGTGGTCTTCATATAATGTTGGTGGGGCTACTGCTGTTGATGCATTGGGCTTGTTGGAGGGCGCCGTACTTTGTTTCGTATTGATTGTTGTTTCGTGTTCGCTGCTGGCTGCTGTCGTTGAACCCCTGCATACACCGCACCCTGCACGAGTGCCGTGCACCCCTGACATGACTCCTGCTGCCGCTGCTGCTGCTGCTGCTATTCGTTACGGGGAACGATCAACCAAGACCTAGGTGCGGTAAAAGGCTGTCTTGGGAGTGCTAGAAACTGTAGGTGAGCACGCGCATAATGAAGTTGAAGACGGTTGGCGTTTCCTACCGTGCCGACTCGGCGGGCACGTCACGCGGACGGGCGAAGAGCAGAGTTTGCAAACCTGCGCGCTGGTTCGTGCAGCTACCAGTTTCACCTGCCTGCGCAGTTGTTCCAGCAGCAGAGCTACTAGCACACCGAGCAATCGCAATACAGGGGGAATCTAGACTATTGGCACGCTGCACCACTTCGCAGAATGGCCGCCGTCTCTGCGTATGTACGTATCCCCGCAACCGCACACGAACACCGCTGACAGCTTTGTGGACTTCGGAAAAAAACAACACAATACATGCAGCAGCTCAGCAGACAGCAGCACCATCGCAGCTGCGACGGTTACAGCAGTAGAGGGCAGTGAAACTGCTGTAGCACCACCATTGCTGTGTTTCTGTATCGACAGGACGCGCGCAAGTTCAGCGGGGATTGTTTGCCGGGGTCACCTACCGGTGCTGCTGCTGCTGCCGTTTTGGGTTACCTGCCCTGAATAAACTACACAACGTGAGGTTTTTCTACCAGCCCCAAACCAGCCGTAAGGTTGAGAGCATCCGATATTGGGTCTTGAGAGATGTCTTTAGTTTGTAGCGTCGTGCTCTCTTCTTTAGTGATCCAGCGCGGTCGCCTACACACATCATGTAGCAGCAGACCCCGTATTGGTCTACTACTCTACTTCCGGATACCCGGTAGCACGCAAAGCAAGAACAGAATTTTTTCAAAGCAGATCCGTTACGGTAAAACTGCTGCTGCTGCTATTGCTGCTGCTGCTCGACTACGACTCTACTGCTGCTTGCCGGTGACTTGCCTCTTGACATCGGCCAGGAGCTGTGGTTCGTGCGT